ATGAACTTCATACCATTCGTTCAGAGTTTTCATAGAGAGGTCTGACCGTCGCACATGCAGTCGTCCAGGTGTTCGTTTGACATCCCCGGAATTCAATCTAGTCGCTCTGGAACAGTGCTCATCTTCGTGAACGAATAACGTGTCCGGCCCACCTGATCTTCGAAACCTTGGCAGATGCGGCGGCGTCTCTGATCTTCGATCGTTGGCGGAGTGCGGAGCTCCGATTCTCCCTCTCTCTGACTCGCGTGTAGGGAATTTTTAGGCATCGCTCTTCCGGTGGCACGTTGAATGACGCCGACCTCGTGTCCATCGTGCTCCATAGAGTCTAAGTCTCCGAAGCTTAGGATAGGGTGGCGCAATTCGGCAATGAGGAGGGACGGGGGGGGCATTTTGCACTTCACTGCTTCACTACTTCCTTACAAGTCTCACTCTGGTGAAACTTGTGAACTCTTGTGAAGCTGGAGCAAGCTCGTCTAGCCACCATGGTAAAACGTGTCAACTCAAGAAAAGGCTATCTAGATGGGTCGGCACATCGATGGGAAGCAAAATGCCTCCCCTCGCCCAGGGTAGGAAGGACCGCGGAGTTGAGGAGCTGGGAGCGGAACCGAGTCTTCTTCGTTTTCTTGGTACACCATCGATGTTCTTGAATGTTCCACAAGTCCTTTTTTTCTGCTCACCCTTAGATTTGGCGGTCATAGCGTTGTTTCCCGGCGCAGGTACACATAGCTAGAGCACTCAGAGATGTTCGTTCCGTTGAGCGAGAAAGGGGTTTAAAGGCAGTTGGCACGATAAATCCCCCAAGGCGACTAGGATCAATACTCCTGGCAGGATAGAATTCCGCGACCCTGGGCAGGCGCTGCATAGCGGTTTCCCCGAGGAAGGTGCCCTTATAAGGGCCCTATCAAGCCACAACTTTACGTCCCAAACGCCCGCCACGCCCGCCCGCCCACAAATGGACGACCGTTCCTGACGCTCGTATGAAGCGAAGGGATTGGTATGAAGCGGCCGTGATGCTGCATGGATATATGAGTACACATATGCAGCCGTACCTTCGGTAGCGGTGATTGGTAAGATGCCTACGGGAAACTCGTCCGAAATCTTTTCAAGTCACTGAGAAGGGGAGCTCTTCCTTCGCAGGATTTTATCCGGGTTTGCACTCCGTTCCTTCGCCATTTCCCCACTTTATTACTCCGGCCCTACTAGCATTTCAGGCCTAAGAGTTAGAAAACCAATCGTGGCCAACAGGCCTTCAAGAAAACTATAATGCTTCTTTCATAAACATTAGTCTTTCGTCAGACTCACCCGTAAATTGACTTTTCCGCTACGCGCAGTCGGAACTCAAGCCCGCCCATTCCTATCCGCTTGGCTGATGTTTGAAGTTATCAGAACGATTTCGTCAGCAAAGCAGTGATGGTATAGTTGCCGGCCGACAATGATCACTCCCATGTCTTCCCATTCGAGTTGACGCATGACGTGCTCGAGAGCAGGGCCGTCCTGAAAAGCTAGAGCGATATAGTGTCGGTTCGCCCTGTCGGACCCCTCTCTTCACGTCGATGATGATCTCCTTGTAGAATGGTGAGATCCTGGTCGTGAAGTTGCTGTAGAGCTCACGAAGAATCCTGATGTACTGGTAGGATCTGGTTGCTCAGGGCTTCGATGATGCTCCTGTGCCAACGGAGTCCAAGCGGTAGACGTGGCTGTGTACTTCATTTGGGGAAACCGATCTTCTTGAAGTACAGACCACGCCTACCGCGTCTCAGGGATGTGGGGTGCACTGTTCCTTTGTCCCCCAGTTGATGGCGTTGTGAAACCACTATTTCTAATAGTTGATCGGCGATGTCTTCCTCACCCCTTTCCCTCCCCCCACTTTTTTCCAGGTAGGGTCAGCAGCATCGGAAGAGCAACTTCAGGAGGGGGGGGAGGGGGTGGGGTATTTCGCAAAAATTTGGAACAATGTGGTGTGCTCAGTCATGGAAGGAGCTGCTCGCCATTGAAAAGGAATCCTGTAACACCGCCGCAAAAGATTCCTTTGATCGTAGTTTTAGTTCTGTTGAGTTGCAGACAAAGTCGAACAAGGCGGCATTATGATTGCTCCATTTAGGTACATAGTCATGACCCTGTGTGGTGCAGATCTGACACACCTCTACCAGGCAGTGGGTAGTTCACTGACCGACGGCACAATTCTTCGAGTCGCCATTAGGACGTTGCTTGCTTTGAAACAGGTCCTTAATCAGTTACGCACATGTTTTTCTGATCGTTTATGATAGCAAATCTTTCCTAATTCAGTTACACGAAATCGGCTTCGTCCACCGTGATGTCAAGCCGTGCAATTTTGCCGTATCATCCGCATCACCCAGAATCATTCACGTTATCGATTTTGGTACGGTTAGCTTTAGAGGCAAACTGTACACTCTCTTTTGAGAAAGTTCCTGTCACATGCGAGGTGAATGGGTAGCGTGCCACTTTCTGCCTTCAGAAGTGCACGGTAACAGAGCTCAAGATCGACGTTGTGTTGCACTGCCAGAGTGCAGCACTCCGGTACCAAAATCCCACCATCTGTCACTCTTCTCCCACAGTCTGAGGTA